GAGAGAGGGTGTGTTCTGGACATGGATAAAGGGAAGGATTGGGAGGTATACCTTGACCAGACTGGCTTCAGTTACCATCAGATACGACTGTTACACAGTTCCAACCTCAGATTCAGTCCCACAGATTTTTATTTTCACCACCTTGCCACATAAGCAATTTCAGCACCAATCATGTTCGCAGATAGAAGCATAAATAGCCAAATAATCCCTTCATGTTCAGCTTTTTTTTTTTTTAATTTTGTTGTTTTGTTTTTTTTACACATGCAAAGTTGCTAAAACCTTGTCAGTGTACTGATTTTATGATTAGAGCATAAATAGAGCTCATTGATATCAAATAGCATGCCAATGCTCACTCATAGTGTAAAAAAAAGACATTTTATAATATTTATATATTTCTATAGTATAAATATATATATATATATTAGTGTTGAGTGTGAACAAATTGGAGCCAGAATGGTTATGATATGTTTTAGAGCCCATTTCATCCAGCACCAGGTGTTGTTTTATTGAACTGTATTTGGCTGGTCATTCGATAGAGTCAAAGGGATTTGCTGAGACTGTAAATAATTTTTCCATGTCATCCGCTGCCTGCGGCCACATAAAGGTACGCAGAGAAACTGCTCGTCGAAGGTGACTCCAAAGGCTGAAGGACTTTAGTTAGTTAGACTGAAGTCCAATGATGGACCCGTGTTTGTGCTGCACTCAGAGCTGCTGAAAGACCTACTAATGTGCTAGTTTCATTTGGCATTGGGGCCTTTTTGACACAACTTGTCGGCTCTTCTCCAAAGCAAACTTGATATTGAATCTCTCACCGGGCCACACATCTGGCCTGTGTTAGACAGATGTGATAAAGTCGAGTCGAATACAAATCCCGCTAGCATTATCAGCCCCATTAAAGGGATAATCGCTGTGTTCTAGCAGTTTGCTGATGATGCACCATATCCATCGTTCTGTTGATGTGACACCACTAGATTTCTTTTTTTTTTTTTTTTTCCTTCTTCTTCTTTTTTTAATCTAAGGACAATGTGACCTCGATTATGGTCACTTGCTGACAATGTAAAAGCAACAGAAGAGCCCTTTTAAGGAGGCAGGGATGACAGGGACTCATGGCTGAGTCTGTTTAGGCTCTGTTGCGAGATAATGTGCGATACTGTAAATGTTCTTTATCAGAAAATGCTATTACAGATAGTGGACTGTGGCAAGAATTATGGATGGCTCCATACTGTAGAAAAGAGATTATAATATGTATATGTTTAATGTGGGGAGATGGCTCTTTCTGTCACTGCTTTCATAGTTTGATTATGCAATGGTTTCCTTCTGTGTCAAGGTGAGAGGAAGTCTGGCTGAACTGCTAAAAGCAGTAACTTTACCTCACACAGAAACAGTATTTAAAGGGTTGAAACATGCTGTAGATAGATGGCACAAAGACTGAGGGATAAATAGTCATGACAGCTGCAGCATCTGCTTCAATAACTGCATAATCTTACAGTTAAACAAGTGCATGTTCAGTAATTGTCAGCACTCGTCTTCTCCGTAGTTGTCTCAGTTAGGCCGGCAAAGGTGTTGGGAAGTAGTGTAATATAAATTAGCCATGCTGTCATGTTTCAATAGCCAACTAACAATTACTAAAGCATTACACAAGTATAACTTGGTTTATTTTCTCATCATGTTTTAAACTTACTGTTTTATCTAGAGAGATGGTGGCTACTAGGATATTTTGCTGGTCTTTTTTTTTTGTTGTTTTTTTGTTTTTTTGTTTTCTTTTTGTGTTTGTTTTTGTATTCATCAGTGATGTTTGCATACCTAATGCGTGGGACATTTCGGGACTCAAGCGGAAGTTGCTTTCTAGTTAATCCTGTGATCCAGGTCTGAACTGAGCTGCTCTCCTCCAAAGCTCCACAACAAGAAGCAAAGTCCATAATGTGATTAAGAGGATAATGGCGTTCAGCGGTTAAGCAGCCAACATCCAAACTAAACTGACATAAACAAGAAGCACGTGCTCGGCTTTTGTTGTCACAGTCGGCTCTTGTGTCATTTTAGTATCAGACTCGGGTTTTCTTGCTTCCAGCTTTGGGTGAGACGCGTTCAACTATAGTAATAACATATTTAACCCTTTCATGTATGCTGTCGGCGCGGCTTTGTACCCATCTTTATTCCTGTGTTGCATGGTGTCCACATGTGTGGGCAGTGAGATTTTATTTTTTAAAAAGAGGAAAATATTTTAGCACAATTCCCATAATTTGTGCATGAAAGGGTTAAATCGAGGTCATAGGTTTACATAGTTGGGGAATTCTCATGGGGTGGATTTTGATTTGGATTGTGATGGAATGTTTTATTGTATGAAAATTTATCTTCAGGAAAATAAAAATACTAAGCACTATAGTCTGCTGTTATTTCTTTTCCTCTTACATCGTGACATTCACTGTGACGGATGGGGAAAAAGTAATGGAAGCTGGGAGAGTTGAAAAGGACATTAGTGTTTACAGGGAGTGCAGAATTATTAGGCAAGTTGTATTTTTGAGGAATAATTTTATTATTGAACAACAACCATGTTCTCAATGAACCCAAAAAACTCATTAATATCAAAGCTGAATGTTTTTGGAAGTAGTTTTTAGTTTGTTTTTAGTTTTAGCTATTTTAGGGGGATATCTGTGTGTGCAGGTGACTATTACTGTGCATAATTATTAGGCAACTTAACAAAAAACAAATATATACCCATTTCAATTATTTATTTTTACCAGTGAAACCAATATAACATCTCCACATTCACAAATATACATTTCTGACATTCAAAAACAAAACAAAAACAAATCAGCGACCAATATAGCCACCTTTCTTTGCAAGGACACTCAAAAGCCTGCCATCCATGGATTCTGTCAGTGTTTTGATCTGTTCACCATCAACATTGCGTGCAGCAGCAACCACAGCCTCCCAGACACTGTTCAGAGAGGTGGACTGTTTTCCCTCCTTGTAAATCTCACATTTGATGATGGACCACAGGTTCTCAATGGGGTTCAGATCAGGTGAACAAGGAGGCCATGTCATTAGTTTTTCTTCTTTTATACCGACTTCTTCCTGTACCACTGCTTGAAGAAGGTGTCTTCCAGAAACTGGCAGTAGGACTGGGAGTTGAGCTTGACTCCATCCTCAACCCGAAAAGGCCCCACAAGCTCATCTTTGATGATACCAGCCCAAACCAGTACTCCACCTCCACCTTGCTGGCGTCTGAGTCGGACTGGAGCTCTCTGCCCTTTACCAATCCAGCCACGGGCCCATCCATCTGGCCCATCAAGACTCACTCTCATTTCATCAGTCCATAAAACCTTAGAAAAACCAGTCTTGAGATATTTCTTGGCCCAGTCTTGACTTCAGCTTTCAAAACGTTGAGATATTTTCTGCCAGTCTTTCTTATTCATTACATTTTTATTTGTCAGTTTTACAAGTATAGAATTATCATAAAGCTTAGCCGGTCAGCATTAGGACTGAACATACACAATTTCCGTAATAGCATCTTCTGTGTATCAGATCACTGAGTAATTATCTCAATTTTCAGTACATATAGGAGTACACCGCACTAGCCCATTTTCCCAATCATTTCTCATAGCAATTTCATCAAGGTCTACGAAGTCGAGTCATACGCGGCCAAAGCGTAAGTCCTTTTCCATTCCAAATAATGTTCTTCACTACTCCCACGCCATTAGGCCTAGTTGGACGCGGTCTGCCTTTGCTCATCTTCGTGGTTTGATGGGCCTTCTGCAGCCAGCCAAAAGTACTATTTCAATTAAATAATATATCTTTATGTGGAGGCCCGTAGGCACAAATTATAGCCAAAAGATACAACAGTATCAAAAAAGAGCCTTCCACAATCTATTTTGTATATCAGCCTCAAACGTATCCACCTCCACCGCCGCTGAGTCGGACTGGATCCTTGGCTACAACCAGACACGGATCACTGGCCAAAGCTCTGCTCATGGTTCATCATCAAACCTTAAAACCATCTAGAGATTTCTTGGCCCATTCTTGACGTTTCAGCTTGTGTGTCTTGTTCAGTGGTGGTCGTCTTTCAGCCTTTCTTACCTTGGCCATGTCTCTGAGTATTGCACACCTTGTGCTTTTGGGCACTCCAGTGATGTTGCAGCTCTGAAATATGGCCAAACTGGTGGCAAGTGGCATCTTGGCAGCTGCACGCTTGACTTTTCTCAGTTCATGGGCAGTTATTTTGCGCCTTGGTTTTTCCACACGCTTCTTGCGACCCTGTTGACTATTTTGAATGAAACGCTTGATTGTTCGATGATCACGCTTCAGAAGCTTTGCAATTTTGAGACTGCTGCATCCCTCTGCAAGATATCTCACTATTTTTGACTTTTCTGAGCCTGTCAAGTCCTTCTTTTGACCCATTTTGCCAAAGGAAAGGAATGTTGCCTAATAATTATGCACACCTGATATAGGGTGTTGATGTCATTAGACCACACCCCTTCTCATTACAGAGATGCACATCACCTAATATGCTTAATTGGTAGTAGGCTTTCGAGCCTATACAGCTTGGAGTAAGACAACATGCATGAAGAGGATGATGTGGACAAAATACTCATTTGCCTAATAATTCTGCACTCCCTGTATTTCAGCTTAAACATTTCTCCAGAATTCACCTTCAGTTTAGTTCTCAGTTAAATAAGTGGCCAAAAAGTTTGGCCGTTGCCCAGTTTCTTTTCTGGTTTCCTCCATTAGACGCTGGTCACCACACTAAACCTTTTCCCTTCTAGACGTCCAGTGGGACTGACCACGTAAAGTGGCACCTTCATCATTTTGCAAATCACTGCTTCTTAAAAGAAATGTTAAGAAAATCAGTTGTTATTGCACTTTTTTTTTATTGCACTCAAGATACAAGAACAGTCTTCTATGATCCAATACAATCTCTATAGCAGTAAATTTGTAGCCTAAAATATTTTCTATTTCCAACATCACAGCAGAATAACCAGAACATTGTTTTTTTTTTTTTATTATTTTGCTTTTTTGTGGTGAAACCACAACAAGTACTGCAGCAAGTCGAGCTGTTCTGACGCTGCTTATTATGAGGTGTGTATCAGGAGCTTACAGCGGAGTGAAAAAAGACTCTGGTGTCACACACTGCTCTAAGTAAACTGCTGGCAAAACAACAAATTTTGATGGATGAAGGATGGAGATGATAGGAAAAAGTTGAATGCAATCATTACCTGATATTCTGTGCTCATATTGGCAATTAAACTTTAAGTATAGTGATACTCAGACTGTGGGGTTGGCCACTTTATGAGGCAAATTTTCACCCAACATTTTATCTCTGTTTGCCTGTAGTGGCTCTAAGATGAAGGCTTACCTATACCTTTTTCTATCATAATAATAATAATAATAATAATAATAATAATAATAATAATGGATTAAGATATTGAGTTGGGAAAACATTACAAACAACAAATCATTGCCCTTATAAATATCACCTGTTTCTGAGTTTTAGTTACATATTTGTCCCTCCTGTGTGAAAAGAACAAAGATCTTCATCATGGCTCTTCACACGCTAACTTTAAAAGTTTGAACTGCACAAAAATTCTAACGTTAATGTCGGCCAGTGACGTGTTATTTACTGATATGCCAACAAAAGTGAACAAGGCCAGTGTTGGCCAATGAATATGCAATAGCAGCTTAATATGTCAGCAATTATTATGATGATTCATTTCTATTTTAAAAAAAAAACAAAAAAACCCCCCCACAAAGTTTCAGCATTGAGTAAACGTTTCCCTTTCATTGTGAGTGCTGCACAAAAACAGACCTCTGAACCTCGACTGCACTCCACCATCTTTGGAACCTGCTCATTAATTTGACAAAATATCAAAGCAAATCGATCTAAAACCGGACTTTGATAACATGCAAGACTGTTGCTGTGATCTGAAATATACAGTTAAGCCCATAAACATTTGGATAATTGACACTTTTTGTAATTTCACCTCTGATGTAAAATCCACTGTGGTGCTGTGAAAACGGTCTAGATGTGATTAAAATGCAGATTTTAGGCTTTGATTCAACGGGGTTTTCATCAGTTGTGTTTATAAATATTAAAAGGATTTGGACAGCAACATTTTAAATAGAAAGTTTGTTTTTAATACTTGGATGAAAACCCTTTGCAATCAATGGCTGGCTGAAGTCTACAGACTTGGTCGCGTACAGAGGCATAATTACAAAAACAATGTCATCATCCAAAATCATGCACACCTAACTAGTTAAAAGTCAAAGTAAAAAGTCTAATAGTCAATTAAAGTTAATTAAAAATAAGCTTCATTTGCCTCCACTGCAGACAACCAACTAAACAACTTGGCAGAGATAAAAGAAATTCACTGTTTTCTGCTCACAAATTTCAAAATTCTCACTGAATTTAAACCTGTAAATAGGAGCGTCGTCTTCTTTGCTCTCTTACGTGAAGTCCAGCCGTGTCAGTGAATCAGCCACGAAACAAAAGATTACCACCTTAGAAAGGTCACTGAACGCACCGGCAGAGCGCGCATTCGTTTCCATTACAATAACTCACAATTAACTTTACATCATGTATTTAAAAAATATATTTAAAAACACCACAAAACTAGTCTCTGTAGGACATTCATTATTGTAAAACTATGTAAATGATTTAACATTTAAAAACAGTAAAAAGTATTGTCCAATAGACAAAGATAATAATTGTACAGCCATTTGAAGGAAGAAAAAAAATCACCTGGATCCCTTTGCTGGAACATTTAAGATTTGAATTCACACAACAAGCTGAAAGAGGACAGTTTGTCCATCAGAAACCAACAATTACACTGTGTATCTGAGTATATATTGTATAACACAAAGCGATTTTTGACACAATAAATACACAGCAGACGCGTCTCTGCGTGTGCGCGCTGTTTTGTGTCTATCCTGATCGGCTGCTTTGCTGCACAATGTTCCACCAAAGTGACACGATCGCATAAAACGTACAAGAAATACAAACATCGATAGTCGTACCTAAACGTGACGTTTCACTAGTAACCTGCACATAAAGTCATTAAAATCTGTGACACTGATATTTTTTATATATATTAGATTTCATAGTAATAAGACCTCAAAACGAAAAAAAAACAACCCCCAAAACAAAACGTAGTACTACTGCTACTCTTTTTACTTACAGTAAGCTGCAGCAACACGTGCTTAGAATCAGGCAAAATTTTCAAAATATTGTGAAACTGTGCATTTCATTTCGGCTGTATTAAAAACAGTCTGACGCATGTATGGTTTCCTGTGGTGCAGGACTAAAAAGTACCCACTTTCTCGTCTGACGTGCTCTGCTGTAACTCAGTGCCAGCTGCTACATTTGAATGCATGTAAATATTTTCACACAAACGTCAGCTACATTCAGAAAATACGAGGCTATTCGAAAATCTCTATTCGTAATCTCTTCGCAGCACGGACAAAATGACTTGAAATGACCAGCTTAAATTGTGCCAATATGATGCGAAACTCCTGTGATGTGATTGAAAAGTTATTTCTTGTTGGTAAGATTCAAAACTGCAGTGGTTTCCCTCTTTTTTATTTGCCTGCTTATGTTTGGACGCCTTCTCTACTTTTAACATTAGGCCTAAAAATTGCCTTTTTTGATAAAGCATATAGGATCACATGACCCTGAAGCCTCCCTTAGTTATGATTCAATACACCTAGACTGCTGGGGGGGCTTCCCATGATGCACCGAGTCTTTAATCCCGACTCACCTTTTTTCATTCTCTATGTGCTTACACACCACTCGGCATTTAATCAGTAGTTATTAATCTCTGTATCTCTTCCAGGGTGACTTTATTGTTCTGTGTCCCTCCCCCTTACCCCCTCACTGGTCAGATGGCCGCCCCTCCCTGAACCAGGTTCTGCTGGAAGTTCCTCCCTAATAAAAGGGAGTTTTTCCTTCCCACTATCGCCATGGCCTTGCTCATATGAGGGGGGTCACCTGATTATTGAGGTTTTCTCCCTATTATTGTGGGGAAAGAAACATATCTTATTCCGTATGATAAAGACATTTTTCTGTACTGTATGCAGAGTAGGATTTTTACTGTTGATGCATTATTTTTGCCCTCCATCCAAGCTGTGTAAACCTTTCTCAGCCGCTTTGATTTTTGTAGTCAGAAATAAAATAAAAATACTGAATTCCTGCGTGAAAATATGTGGATTCAGTATCAGACACAGGTCAGTAAAACGAACCCTCCCAGAAACCATTTGTCCTTGTTGCGATGGTGAAGTCAGCTGGGTAGTGATGTTGTCATGCATTAGCTTGGCTGAATTACCACTGAAAATCTAAATAAATGAAAAAGGTAGAACATGTAAATTTGCTGTATTACTATTGCTCTAAAATGAATGGAGAACAGTGCGATCTGAAATCTATCCAGTAGAAATGGGAAAGATTTGCAGATTTTTCTGCTCTTAGGGTTGCTAACATGTATCGCCAAATAAATCTTGGTTGGTGCTGGACTGGATCAGCTGGGGGGAGGTGATTGGTTGTTGGCCCTTTCAATGTGCCTGCAGGAGTCTCATTAAGAGTAGAGAGTTTTTGAAGAGATGCCCTCAGAGTGCGCCAACCAAAACTCCAGATCAATGGCAGTTTGTCAGCATTTCCACATTGACAAGTTGCACTTATACACCTCTATATTTCAGAGAAGAGTATTTACGTCTCTGCGTTTTCTTGACCGATTTAGTTCTGAGTTTATTTTCAGACTAAATACAGACATAAAAAACTGTACTAAGAGCTTAAGTGATTAATACTTTGCTATAAGTTATATTGGAGTTTATGGTTGTTTTTTTAAAATTTTTTATTTCAAATTAGAGATGAACGGATATTTCATGACTCCGAGTCCTGGACTATAATCCAGGATTAAGGGCTTGAGTTTTTAGTTTTACAAAGATAACTATCTTTGTAAAAGATAGTTACAAAGTTACACTTTGTAAAGAAGTTACACTTCTTAGCAGGAGTAACTTGTACAAATCTAAACCTTTTCATTGTTCTATAATTATTAATATAGCTATAGCTAACTTTTGTACTTAGTCCTTATGTAAAATTAGCAAGTCAGCAAAGCCTACTAACTGGACTGAATTATTGACTGAACACTTAATCGCCCCAGTATGACACAGAGTCATAAACATAAACCACCGTGAATCTGCATTGGTGCAAATGAAAGTGACAAGTGCAGTGGCTTTTTTAGATTTGCTTTTTCTAGTTTTTTCTAGTTTCGCTTTTCTGCTAGACTCCTTGTTAGTAGTGGTAGCATGTGATGGTACCTGAAGCCCATTCAGGCTACATGGGGCTGGTCTGTGAGAACAGGTCCCACTAAAGGAGACCAGGGCCACCTGTTTCAGAAACATGCAAGAGTAACCCATTGGAGGTCATTTGCAGCGCTCTAGAAGTACTCTTCTTCCTCATTGTATACAGGAGAAGACAGCAGTCTTGCAGCAGGATTGATGAGTTTTGTAGTGCTCTCTCTCTCATATAACAGCCTACTTCCTTCCTTACAAAAGCATCAAACGATGTGTCATCCTGCTGAAGCTGGACAACCCGTAAACCTTGAATGCAACTGCAACTACTGTGACAAGGAAGTTGGCAAAAGGCGAATCTAGAGAAAAATCAGTCAGGAGATAGTCAGGAGAGAGAGCTGCTCTTTGGGGGTCATCATCTTCTTGTTACTTTCATTTGCACCAAAACAGGTGAAATGTATTCGCAGTGATTCCTAACTGGACAGAGCAACAGACCAGAAGTTTAAATGACTTTGTGTTACACTGAGATGAGCCAGTGTTGTTCTCAGACATGTAACAATGACTAGTTTGCAACTGAAGGACTTAAACTGTCTTAAACCCCAGAGGAACTTTCTTTTAGGCAACCAGCACCTTAAAGTAACGCAGAGTAATAGTAGACCCTTTCTACCTTCATGATCGAGCAGTGATTGAGTATCTTGCATTTAGCTATAAATGGCTTACACTCATGTAGCATTTTATGTTTTAATGAGCAAAGTTGTCTTTCTGTCACACGTACACTTCTTTAAATCTGACCTTATCTGATTTGATTGTTTTTTTTTCTTTTAATATTCTTTTAATATTACAGTTTTGTAAATCATGTGGCAACAGTGTCAATACTCTTGTCCATGTTTACGACTGGTCATCTGCAAACACAGTCCCTCTCACATGAACTCAGTCATTGCTAATTAAAAACAAACCCTGGGTTGACTTTTCTGAGTTAACCTTGTCAGATTTATTGGGTTTTCTGATGTTAGGATAACTGAAGCCAGATAAGAAAACATCCCTTTTAAGGTGGACTTGCTTCAGAACCCAGGCCTTTGGTGCACCTCATCTCCAAACCAATTTAAAATGTTTTTTAAAGCAATTTAGCAAATTAGTCCACAGCTGACAAATTTAGCTGCCACGTGACCTAATCATGAGCTTCATCCATCACCTGAAAGCAGAACAGCCAATCATCAGTCTAGCACCGACCATAAAGCTTTTATAATAGCACGTTAGCAGGAAAGGAAAGCAGAGTGGCTGCTGTAATACTTACACAGAAAAACAAAAATTCAGCTCAGTTCTCTGTACAATTATCATCAAAATATTGGCCATTAAATAACCACACCATTGTGCAACAACAGCACTTCAACATCTTTTAAGTTACGTAACTTGTTTGTGTTTTTTTAAATATCACTAAAGGCCCAACAGATCTGCTGCTTCCATCTGCCACATTCCTACATTTTCTGCTAGATCACCCAATTTAATACCGAAAGACTGCTTTTAAACACTCCACTGTACAAGAAGGACCAAAAAAAAAGCTAAAACGTTTTGTGTAGTTGCATGTGTACAGTATCACCCTAACAAGTCCCACTGAGTTGCAGAGGAATTAATAAGAGGAATACATCAATGCCGTCACTTTTTTTCACTTTTTTTGGCTTCAGGAAGGAGGACGTGTGGTAGAAAGGTAGATACTCAGCATGGCGTCTGAGTTGGGTTGGCCTTTGACCTGTAAGCCTCACATCTGCCCAAAGAGGATAGAGCAGAGCAGGAAGATGGCATAGAGAAACATGAGACCCAGACCCAGCCGACGGTCCAGTCTCCAGTGGTTCAGATGAACACTCAGCACCTGCAAGCAGATGCGGAGCATGCAGACATGCTGATCAGGGACAGAATCGCCAAGGGTCCATTTATTTTAAATAAAATTGTCTTTAATGTATCTACCTTTTTAGTTTAGTTTTTGTTTAGTAAAAAATACATAACTGGACAGCTTTCTATTTATATACGTTTCAACCCCAAGGGGGCAGTGCAACATGTTGCAAGCTTTGCTCTCCACCACATCCCGAGGGAAACATCTGGTTCATTAGCTGCAAGCTGCTCCACATGTTTGCCAACTTTGTTAGTGTGGCAACTGGTGCCGAGCACCCAATGCACAGCTGATTTAATAGTTATTTTGTAGCCTAACAAACACACACTGGTGAGTGTATATTAAGTTTGCAGCAATGTTGCAAACCAAAACACTCAAAGAGCCCCAAACCTGGCTGAATGATCTAATAGCATTATTGATTCGTATGACTTTAAATCTGTTTGATATAGAAATGTACTGGGTGGGATTTTTTTAAAAACCCAAATTTAGCAGAGCTCTCTGCTGTACACTTTATACTGGTTACACCTCTCTGAACATCACCTATATATCTGTGCAACCTTTGGTATTTAGCATTTACTTACTGTCAGAAACACAGACGCCAGCAGCAGGATGACAGAATATACAAGTCCTTTATTATTTATGGATATCTGTGGGAAAGAAAAACATCAGTGTTATGACCATCAAGCAGAAGTGAGAAGCTGCAAACCTTCGCTCTGATAACTCGCACAGAAAAATTAGTAACCCGGGAAAGAAAGACGTTTGAAGAGGTGTTACATAAAGATGAATGTAAGCATTACTATTGATCCGTGGTCCACCACAAGTGTACGCAAAGCCCAGGGGAAACCCAAACCCAGCAGGATGTCAAAGATATTGCTGCCTACAGAGTTGGACACTGCCATGTCCCCCATGCCTGAGTAAAGACAGGAAAAGTGACAGAGAAATGCTTAAGTACTTGCCTCACAAAGAGACATAAAAATGAAAGAGAGAGACATCACGCAGGACACATTTACCTTGTCGAGCTACAATCAGACTCGCCATGCAGTCAGGCACGCTAGTCCCTGCTGCCAGGAAGGTTATGCCCATGATGTAGTCTGGGATGTCTAGTGTAAAGCTGATGATGGTGACCTGATAGAAACATATAGAAAATATCAGGATAAAGTTATCTTACTGGTCTATAAAACCTTCAAACTGGCTTAGTTTTTGTTTTTGTTTTAATTTACAAACCAACATGCAGATGTACATCACATCAGTTTCAGCAGGTGTCTGAGAATACAAGAGATACTGTAGACAGAAGACCTGCTCTTACCATCCACACCATGAGGTAGGAGAAGACAGCGATCCATAAAGTGGAGGCCACAAAGGTGACCATGAACCAGCGGTGCCAGCGTGGCAGAATGCAGTTAGGCACAGTGCAGTAGAGCAATAGGCCCAGAGGCCATGTGATCACCCACTTTACCCGCGCACGCCAGCCATCTGTGATGAGACAGCATTTGGACTGTATCAGCAATCAAGGGGTTAACATGATAGAGGAGTAAGATCAATTTAAGGCAACAACAAACTGACAAATTCTAGCTATATTTATTGAAGGCTGTTCAGAGGCCAGCGAAAGCACAAGTAATCCCTGTGACTACTCTTGGGGCTTCATGATATCCTTAATGTGATTATCTAAGGTGCACAGCTCTCTGTCCACCCCGCCTGGCGTTTAAACCTCCTATTTTTAAGGGGCAGCCAATCAGAAGAAAGTTGATTTAGAGGCAGGGTGGCCTTAAACAGGCAGGAGGTAAATGGGTAAACTCGGGGGCTGCACAGAGATGAATAAGGATTATTTTTAACCTTGAATCGTGCAGCGCTTGTCTAGTAGAGCAAAAGACTATGGAGTAAGAAATGAGCATTATAGCACAATCATTAATCAGCTAATCAATCAAATCATTATATCGAACTTAGAAGCAACAAGTGTTATTACACATTAAAAAATGAACAGAAAACCAGCGAGAGCTTCATGTGGAAAACTCTTTTTTTATTGCTGAGGTATATAGTTAAGGGCCTCCCTTAGTTATGCTGCAGTAGGCCTAGGCTGCTAGAGGCTTCCCATGGTGCACTGTGCATTTCTTTTTCACTCACTATGTGTTTATACACCACTCTGCATTTAATTATTAGTTATCATTAACCTCTGGCTCTCCTCCACAGCGTGTCCTTGTCCTGTCTTCTTTCCCTCACCCTCAACAGTCAGCTCAGATGGCCACCCCGACCTGAGCCTGGCTCTACTGGAGGTCTCTACCTGTTAAAAGGGAGTTTATCCTTCCCACTGTTGCCAAAGTGCTTGCTCATAGTGGATCGTCTGACTCTATATTATTGTTACTATGTTACTAATAATACTGAGTTATCATTGTAGCGTCTTTAGCTTACAATATAAAGTGAGGCAACTGTTGTCGTGATTTGGTGTTAACGGAATTTAACATTTGCTTTTTGAAAAGGAAGCAAATGTTTATGAAGTCCTAGCCCTATCTAGCTCATCTTATGTATCTGTTTTGATTATACAGTCTAAAATATACATTCCTCACCTGGAATGCGCACTGGACTGAAAATCCCATCTTCATCGTCATCTTCATCTTCTTGCTGGCACACCTCGGTCCCTGGCTTGTCTCCTGACTCTGTGTTGACCATGCCGGGTCTCCCGCCTCCGTTCTCCAGACTGCAGGAGGCTGTCCTCTTCAGACTGTTGCTGGTGGACCCCCCTCTTGACCCGGGTCCGGCCTCAACGTCCCGTTGATTTTTTGAAATACGGAGCAGTCTCTGTCTCTGCGGTCGAAAAAGATCATTTAGAATTTTTTTTTTCTTGTGCGCGAGTGCGTCACAGTATGTGAGCATTAAATACCTCACTGATGAGCATGCGTCCGGCCATGGAGAGCCTGGTGCGGGGTGAGAAGTGGGGGGTGATCATAATCCGCAGGCCGGCCTCTGAGAATGACAGTTTGTGAGGGTTGAGGATGAGAAGCTCATCTACCATGACGACTGGAGAAGCCTCCTGACCATGGGCTTGGCCTGTGTATGAGATGTTGCCAATGAAAAGCACAACACATAAAACTACTTCATTCACACTCGACATACAAATCATTTAAAAAAACAAAACAAAAACAAACCTTTGTTGAGAAGCACCATAGATGTGTTGCACGCCGAGGTGTCTTCTCCCAACTTGTTGTCTCGCCGTTCTTCTGATCGGAGGCAGCACGGCCTGATGCTCCTCAACCGACGTGTCACAAACACAAAAATCTGGGAGTTGAACCTGTGACAGAGCAAACCACCATCTTACACCATCCAAGTATTCTTACAACTCACACATATGGAGCTTTACTGACTGATGAGGAGGTTTTGTCTTCAGGAAACTTACTTCATGATGATAATGTAGATTCCATACATCGTCATTAGCAGTAAGGACTCCCACCTGCACAGTGAGCAGAACGTTTATGTAAGTCTGACCTTCACAGAATCAGTGTGCATTGGGAACAACTTGGGGTTCAGTATCCTGCCCAAAGACTGGAGCAGTCAGGGATTGAACCATCAGCCTTCCAATTAGTAGAGGACCTAAGGCTAAGATTCAGCTCGTAATGCTGCACACTGCATTTTTCTGGGGGGTTATTCCATCTGTATTTCAAATGTGAACAATAACGTGACTATTTTTTTATTCATATTGGGAAAATGATGGAGAAAACACCTTTACAAATACTTCATATAATACTTATGGAAACTTTGAAAAAGAGAGATTTCTTACCCGAGGAGGACTATCACACTATTTTCAGATGAACATGTTGTGTGTGTTTTATTCCAGCTTTAATATCCCTGAAATCCTTCACTTGCTTTAACTCTTTAAAAAAAATCTCAAGCTGTAATAAAACTCTGTGGTTTCTACAGACCTCAAAACCTGCTGCCAGAGATGCCACATACAGATTTCAAACTTTCTATGTTAGCTACACTCCAGGGAGTCCATATTATCAGAGCCACAGTCTTAGTATTAAGTGATATTAAAAACCGAGGACCAAATTCAAGCAGTCGAGCCATTTTTTATGATGGAATTTAAATATCCCTGCTGAATAAAATGCTATGAAAGCATCTATAATCACTCCTACTTTCATCCCCATCCCCAAGTTCTTCTTCTTCTTTTTTTTTCTTTTTTTTTCGAAAACTAATGACAGTATTGACCTCAAACTCTCCAGAATTCCTAATAAGAATTCCCTGAATTTTTGTTTTCCTTAGCGTGAAAAGTCTCTTGATAAATTGAGAATGACCCTGGATCGCTTTGTTTAGTTAGGATAATTTAATTAAACAGAAACAGCTTAAGTCTATCCAGCTCTCTTGACCACACTTCCTCCTCTTCACTGATTGGTTTGTGTTCTTCTTTGGTCATCTTTTATTCACAGTTTCACTCTGTCACAGTGTAGCAGTTCAGTCTTGAAATGTATTTATTTATTTAATCTTTTTTTTAAAGATAGAAATGTGGGACACATTTATCTTTTATGTTTCCCCTTTTTGTTTGAATATTTATAACTATAATTTATGTATTTATTTAGAATGGATGGATGGAATTTTGCAAATTTAAGCATTTAACTGTAAATTCAGGCTTTTATTCATTTCCAACACTTTGATCAGATGCCCATAATGAAAGTCACCTTTGTATTCTGAACCTCTGAATTACCAGAAACCACCAAAAACATGGCTTTAAAAGTCCATTATCATCCAGATTTTACCTACAGACTGTCATTTGAACTCAGTAACATAGGAGTGCCCTAAACCAACTTCTTATAGTCTCTTATAGTTTGTGGTTGAGTAGTCAGTTTTGCTCAGAGAGATTCCAAACTCAGTGAGGTATCCCAGAAGCATCTGGACAGTGGCCATGACAGTAGCAGATCTTCTAAATACTAAGAAGGGGTACTTCAGTGCTTCCTGTAATGCCTCCTTTAGCAGAGGAGACACTTGGGCATCATTTATTAAATTGCAATCCAAAGTGATGGAGTGTGCAAACAAACATCCAACCTATTTTCCATTTCCATTGCCATACTCTGCTGATATGTCTCAAGCATGCTCACTCATCCAGGGAAAGATACCCTGATAAAGTTAATTCTGTTCACCTGACTGCAGCTTCTGCTTCTTCGTTGAGCGATGAAAAGTTTCTCCCACTGAAAACATTAAATCTGGATAAAGTGAATCAACTTTCTCGAAACTAATAAAAATGTTTTCAATCTGAACCTTCAACAGGTTCTTAAACCCACACATGAGCTATGAACATTACAACATGAAGGTGGAGAAGATCGTAACTTGGATAAAAAAAAAAATGCATACAAAATAAAGTACAAGAACATATGAGTAGAGAAGACCAGCAACTAATCTCAATTAGTCATCCTAACACTGCATTTCTCTTTTGCTAAGTCCTTATGAATTCCCCTTCATATCTTTCCTTGACCTCATGGCTTTTCCCATAAAGGTCAAAGAGAAGTGAAGTGTTTTGTGAATGATTTTCTTATATAGGGATATAAATGTAGTTGAAATATATATAAAAACATCAACACAAAACAAGGCAGTTCAGAAACACTGTCACAGATTGAGTCATACAAAGCAATTTTTAAAATAAGCAGCTAAGCACTGTCTAGTACACACTGTCCAGTTCACTTCAGGTTATGCATGTTTTCTCTTTGTCTTTGAATATGAATTGACTGAAACTGTCCCATTGCTCCTTGGCCATCTCTATTTTTTACAGCTAAGCCTTCACAACATAACTTCTCCACATCGCTGCCACATTTTCACTGTCACAGTTTGAGATTCTTTCCAAAAGCTGAGAATTAGTCAGGCACGAATCCCTAACCCGACCCTCAATAGGCCCGCTGCATACTTATTCAGCTGTGGCATGACACCACTGTCTCCAAGGAGACACAGTGTTGGTGATCTAGGCAAATCACACTTCAACAATCGTAAAGATGTCTTCAAAACAGAAAAACCTTTGCACACTCGTGTGCATGCACATAAGTGCCTCTTTTTGTCTTACATTCCCAGCATATAGCATCCTTAATTAAACCCATTTTGTTTCATTGAGAAGGATAACAGTAAATGATTTTATATTGGATAAAGTTACTTCTACTTTCCCTGATTTGTGAATAAATAAAGCTATGACTGACAACAGTGAAATGGACACAGAAAGCACAATAAGTTCAGTGTGCTGCAGTCTGCTCTGTCCTTTCTGAACTACTTTGAGCACTAGGATGCCAGTGAACAAGTTCAAATACAATCTGTACCAACAAACAGGACTGACAGTAAAAGACGAGGTGAAATACACCAAGATGGCCTCGGTTTGGGACTCAATAAACAGCCTGCTATATATCACGAAGGAATTCAGCACCACAGTGGACATTAGATCCTTGAATAAATCTACCCTTTCAATAAAATCCCAACACGGCGAACAATGGAAAGCTCTTTTACTCTAAAGGTCTCGGGAAGAGAAGTAGGCATCCAGAGCGGGAAAAAAACCAGCTGTAAAGGAAGAGTTACACAAAAGAAATCAATCTAACAACCAGTATCAAATCAATCTTACAAATAAGCTGCAAATGACTGAAATGAGTGCCACTGATGGCATAAACCTCCAAAGGAAATCAATCAAAATAGAGCATGAAGGAATGCGCTTTACATTCATTTTTTGTGACATTTACAATTCTCGTCATCAGTAAATTCTCGTCATCAGTAAACCGCAAACGAGGAATAAAATCATGTCAACGGGAACGTCAGCTCCTGTTGCAATCCAACCCATTTAATCCGATTCCTGACAGACTTTTTAAACACGCCGAGTCTCAAACTGAGCTCATTTATACAAGCAGTGAAAACAGTGTAAAGTACTGGCTCACACAAAAAAACACAGGGAGTTAAAAATTTCTTAAAACAACCTTTAAAAATGAAAAAGCTGTGTGGACTCACCAGACGACTGTGGCATCATAGATGACCTAAGGAGAAAGAATAGACAGTTTAAAAGCAGAAAGGATGACACGGAGCTCAGAGGAACTACTCTTTATTGTTTAAATGTGTATCTCACCATGATGAGAGTCAGTACTGACAGGATGTAGTAGGAGGAATCTCTAAAGAGAGACCACCATGTCAGAACCACTGTCTGTGGAGAACAGATACTCGTGTTACAATATTTTATTATTCATTATTCAGAGCTGCGCATGAACAGGTTTCTTCTATTGCAATGTCTTCTATTACATTTTATTAATTTCAAAGCCAGATTAAATGAAGGTTCTTTACACCAGTTTGATAAGTTGCTTTGTCCTGAGATGACCGCGCTCAGACTAAACCCCTCTGTTTGGCAGTGGAGTGGAAAAAACTGTGGAAGACTGAGCCTTTAAAGCAGTCTGAGCTCATTTGAAACTTTAATAATGTTTAACAAACACATCACCACTGTAGCAATATCTAAAAGCACAACAGTTTCCCTTTAAACAAGCATGGAAAAAGAAAAGTTACACCACATGTGACAAACATCTGGCTGTAAGATGTGAGTAAGAGTCACAAGTTTAATCTACCTGGCCTGCAAAGATTCCACTCAAACCAATTATGACCAGGATGTTGAAGACAGCTGAGCCCACGATTGTGCCGACGCCAACGTCACCTTTAGTGATGAAGACACCTGAAAAAGTGCAGAGGATTTGTCTGACGTCAGATAAAATCTGTCTGTCATTGCGTGTTTTTAGGGGCTGTTTATCCTTGTAAACCCCAGATGAGAATCCACAAGCTAAAATATGAACTACTAAGAAAAATCTTTGTGTTGCTTTAAACTGGACTCTGCTGACATCTCCTGGATATGTCCGGTACCTACTTAGATCAGGACCTTTGAAACAACGAGAGCATTGAAGAGAGCCAATCCTCTCCCAAAAGCTTTGCTTTATTTTGAAAGTTAAGCAATTCTTTACCCATGCTCCACTTCACCAGGTTTTGGCACGGTCTGCTGACAAACATCACTTTTTCTCATTTAATCTGATGACAAGCAGTGAAAACAAATGTTGTCATGCTCTCTCTGAATGGAAAGAGCTGCTACTTGGTTAAGACTAGCTGGGTTACTAACCAATGAGAGAGGTGAAAAGCTCTGGAGCTGAGCTTCCAGCAGCCATAAATGTGGCCCCGGCTACATCTTCACTGAGCTGAAGGTTCTGGAAAATTAAATTAAAAAACAGTTTGAATAGTCCGATAATAATATTTTAAAACAATAAATTTATATCTGAAGGCCAGCTGGGGCTGGTTTTCCTCACCTCAGATATTTTCTCCAGGGAAGGAACAAAGTAGTCATCACAGACAATTGCCAGAGCGTAGAACATGTAGATGGCCTGGAAGAGAGGGACCCATACACACTTTGCCTTTACATAACATAAACCAGCTATATATGTCGTCCTGTTGTGTGCGTTTATTCTGTATTGATGTCAAGTGTCAGCATCATGACTCAGGGTTATAAATGGAGAGGAAAATGTGCAGATTTGAGGCAACATTGCAAGAAATACTCACACAGAGTGCATGGAGACACACAGCCCCATTCTTCCTCTGCTCCTTGGTGAAGATGTCCTCTGGAAACTCATGGATGGCTGCAAGGTACACACGTTTTATTAAATAAATGCCAACTAAAAACTGAAACCTGCAACCTGCAAACAAAACAAAAAACAGAAAGAAAAAAACCCAGAAGACTATTTTTATTAATCATCATTTGTAAACACGTTTTAAATGAATATATAATTTTTATCATCATCATCACCAATTTCAGGTAAGATCTCTGACAGACAAGCTACAAACTGCAGCATCACAGAGACCCAGTGTTCGTTTTGCAGTGACAAATGAGACAGGAAGTGAGGTGGAAGTGAAACTGGCAGCTGCTTCCTGTCCTCCCTTGAGTTTAAAGGGAAAAAAAGGGGAAAAAAAGAACTGTTAATGACAGCTTAGCTCCCCTCTGTTCCCTCGACACTGCGAAAGAAAGCCTTGAGTGTGTGGTACAGCTCCAATTTACAACTCTGAGCCGAGCTGGATGAATGTAAACTACTGGGGAGCATGAAGCTATTAATAGCCCTTCTGCTCTGTGAGACAACAGCGGGTCGACAAGCACACAATAAGCACAGCGTAGCCGCCACGATACACGCTGCACCTCGGCTGCATGGAAACCGAACAACAGATTGCATGGATTAAAAGAGGGTCCCCTGTGATCAGGGATATGAGATTTGATCTTTGACTCTGCGGCGGCAGAGATCGAGAGGAGAAGGAGGCCATATGGTCCCGAAGAAGGGGACAGAAATTTGTTCAGTTTGAAAAAATAAATGTTTGTGCAGTGACGTTTCCGCATTTTTGCTGTTGTGCCACGAACTGCTTCTTGTGCATGGTTTTTAAGAGGTGAGATGAGTTTGTGGATGGGCTGAGGTAAAAAAGCTCCTTTGTGGTCCAGCTGTTACTGCGGGGCACAGCTCGTTCAATAAACTGTCAAGGCTTAGCACGTAAACTTTCTGTCACCCAATCTGACGAATGAAAGAGGCTGGATTTGAAGCAGCTCCTCATGCACCTTCTCAAGCGGCCTGTCAGCTGTCGGACATGTGTGCTAACACACAAACTCTCAGATTAGGATGGAAACGAAGGGGCTTCAACATGTAGCTCAGATGGACCCTTTGAGGGGTTGCTCTGGTGAAGGTAGTTACTATGGCGACCTGCTCCCTGGGGGCAGCTTTTTTCTGATGGGTGGCAGTAGGAAGCCATAGGCAAGGCAACTGAGAGAGCAGTGAGAAAAGGGGAGGTGAATATGTGTTTCCCATGGTTAGGGTTTATGAAAAAAGGAAAGAAAAAAAAGTGACAGCAGCTCTGGACTGTAATGTCTAAAAATATTTATTTTTCCTAACAAACCCTCAGGAGAGGTCTGAGAGAGCGGGGGGAGGAGGGGGCACGGCACACAGATACAAAGAGACACAAACAGTCTACTGGCTTCCTCAAGGTTGCTGAATGTGCTTTTGCCAAGAGTCTTACGCTGTGGTCTCACAGTGCAAGGCCACAAACGGAAACACCAGAGGGTCGAAGATGATCGCACATCTGCAACTTTCCCAATCAGGGGATTTGAGCCAGCTGCGCTGTCAGAGCAGTAAAGTCACAAGTTTACTAATCACTCGGGAACATGTGGACAGCAGTGCTGGTGTGCGGTTACTCTGAGAATATATATAGTCTATATATCATTTCTCTGGGCTCAGTGTTTTTTATTGCCAGCATCACAAGAAGCTCCCACAGCTCATTCACCTCTGATCCAGTTCTGTCGGTCACAGTGTTCACAGCAGCTCACTTATCTTTGTTGTACTCCTCCACAAGCAGCACTGCTAAAGAACAGACTCTCTTCAGATCTGTTCAGTTCGCTGTGTGGTTGCTGGTAAAGTGACAGACTGTCAGAAACATGAGTATGCATTGTACTGCTGACAGGAAGGACTTCTTCACAGCCTGAACTAGCACAACCAAACAGCTTTTGTAATACTTTATAGCTAAGTAGGGTATGAAATTAACTTATTCCTTTTTGCTAAGCAGAAATGTAGTGGGTTGGTAGTTTGTTACATTTTGTTGGCATATTAGATTCAAAGGGTTTATTAAACACCGTAAATAAGTTAAACCTGAAAATGCTGTCAATAGCCAGGTCTTTAGGGATAAAATTGCTCTATAAATCAAACTGACTGATATATAGACAAACTCTTTTAGCTAAACCTTTCAGAAGACAAACATGAATGAAACTGTAAAGTCTGGCACATAAACATAGTGTAAAAAGTAAGGAGATTTGTGTTTGGCTGATTATTTCTTTGTTGTAAAAATGCATCTTGGTAATAAATCTTTTACGGTTGGGAAGTTTATTTCCTCTTAAACAGAGCCACATTTGTGGGTTGAGCAGCAGAGTTGAGCATGTGGGTTTTGCCCATAAAAAAACCCAAATCTTCAGCTTATTCTGCTATTGACACTTCTTTTGAGCTTCTGGTACCACAGGTGCTGACAATCAGGCTCCAATCAAGGCTGATTGTCAGCACCTGTGAGCATGGACCCTGTGGTTAGTTGGTGTCTACTCCAAGCATATCATGTCTGACTGTTTTTAAAAAAGGGCCCGTGCCACAGGGGAACTTCAAGCTGGTGAAGATTCTTCAATAAACATGACACCAATTAAGAGTCAATATCAGAATAAGCAGTTTGGCATTGACAGAGAAGATTTGCCAAGTTTTTCATGGGCGTAACCCTCACGCTCAACTCTGCTGCTCAACCCTGCTGCTCAACCCTTAAACGCATTTTTCTTTTTCTAAAAGTGGCTCAATTTAAAGGAAAATGAACAGGTGTTCCAACGGTATAATATTTATTGCCAAGGAGCATTGCTACAACAAAGAAATAACCCTGCAACAAGTTTCCTTACTATTTGTGCTACACCAAGATGTTTCTGAAGTAAACAAATATATAAATTTTTACCGGAAAAAAGTCATTACCATATTACTAACATTAATAAATGACTGTTTGATTAAGAATTTTTCAATAAAGACAACGCATCAGAGAAACAAATTATTCCAAAATATTAACAGGGGCCAATACATTATAGAAATAATAAATATATGTTGTACTGGATACAATTTAATGACAAAAATATGTTTAATCACCAAACATCTTTCAAGATCTGTGCCAATTGGAAATATCAGATGACGAGTATCATTTAGATTATGTGCAAATTAAAAACTGCTCATATCAACAAAACATTTCTCTACTTTCAGATGCACAAATGCAAATGATATGCTATGGGTGGACAATTCAAATTTCAGTATAAATACAAATACATAAATTGTTCACATTAACAAACAAAAAAACACAACTGAGGATTTAGATGAGCTATGTATGCTGACTAACAATAACTTGATGATATGCTGGTCATTCAAGACCTGGAACCTTTTTTTGCAAAGGATTTTTTCCCCTGTTATATACACCACATATGAGCAGCAACTTCAGACTTTGGGTTTGGGCATTTATCTGGATCTTACTTTAACTAAAAACCAAAACACCCAAATTGTGCTCCCTGATGGCAGCAGCCTTGTCTCATAGGACAATGTACCCTATCACACTACAAACTGCTGACAGAGCAGGGCGGCACCAGCAGAGTCAGATCATTTTTTAGGGTGTCTAACCTCCTGGCCACACATGGCCGGCCACTCTACAAAACACAGAACCTAAAAGAACTGGTAGATCTGGTCCACCATCCGCCCCACCCCCAGAGGTTCCTGTAGCCAATCTGTCTGAACACTATAAAACTAATGGTTTTAATCTTGTGGCTGACAGGTGTACGCTCTGATTGTGTGCCATGAATCTACTCATCACTCTTTGTGTGCTCTAGACTATCCAGTGAGATTTATGCTGACCTTAAAGCAACAGTTGCTGTTGTATTTTTTGCTTTGTTGAAGTTTGTCAGTGTGAGACTGGCATAGAAGGAAAACGCAATCATTTATAGCTGAAAATAAGTTGCTAAAGAAAAAGGTCAGCACATAAATTTTAAAGATTAACTCTAAAGCACAATAAAAACCAGGAGTTATGGTTTAGCATGTTTGTAAGGAAACAAGTGCAAGTTGACCCTAATGTGTCTGCTTCCATCCTCAACGCACTGAAAATCTACAGCATAAAACTTTATTAGCTTTTAGTTGAGTCCTCCACAAGACTTATAGCCATTATAAAATAATGTTTCCATTTCAAACTGAATGGACGAATCAACCAGTTGCTACTTTACAGCATAATGACATCAGATGACAACCTTAGTCTATTTTTAAATCTGCAGTGTGAGAGGACAGATTGTTACTTGAATGTGTATTTTATCTCGCTCCAGATCAAAAACAGGCCATGCTGCAGATTAGATCTTGAAGCATAAGGTCAGTGCCGAGCAAATTCTGCAGGTTTTAGAAATCAAACCTCCATGGAGCTTCAGCGGAGTCGATGGATGGACAGTGGGCGGTATAGGATAATGTTATCGATCTGTAAGTCTGCAGGGCGTCCTGGAGTCAAGCTACGGTATTGACAAGCATATCGAGTAAAGTCATATCATGCACCAACCAGACTGGCGCTGGCGTATAGTCTCTTGCTCTCTCTTTCTCTCTCTCTCTCTCTCTCACACACACACACACACACAAACAAAGAGAGTGCGAGAGAGAGAACTCTGCAAAACAGCTGCATTTTTCATGAGAAATCGGAAAAATAAATATTTTATCCAGGTGTGTAGTGTAAATTCAATTATGCATTTGTTCTTTGATTCCCTTTCCTTTGAGGCAGATTGAATGCAAAGCTGATGAAACAGCAGCAGGCTTCAAGCTCCAACAACCACCTTTCGCATCAATAAACACTGAACATCATTTTACGCTGTTCTGATAACAGAGAACAAAAGAAAACTGTGGGGTGTACGTTCGCTCAATAAAACTACAACACGATGCATCATTAGCAAGACAATAAACTCAAAGGAGAAACACAAAACTCATTAATCAGTCATTTTAAAAGAACACCGGTCAACACCCACAGTAAAATGTGGTCTTAGTACATTTTATCCATTGCATAGAGATGGTGGCTTTTG